TGTTTGCTAATTAAGGAGAAAAAAAAAACCAAACAACCTGAGGTTGAAAGACTGGCCATGACTTCAAACACAACAATGAGCCACTGGCAGAGTCTGTAGTTAGGGCTTGTTTTATTTTTGGGTGAACTTTTGGCACTCATTGAATTCGCCCATAATAGCAGTCCTCTGAGCCAATGGCGATCTTCCCCATGACCATAGTGTTGTGTCCATCTACCTCTCTCTTGCCCCCAAGTGCACTCTGCACAGCTCCAAGAAGGCTAACGGCATATTAGGGTGCATTAGAAGGAGCATTGCCAGCAGATCTAGAGAAGTGATTCTTCCCCTTTATTCGGCACTGGTGAGGCTACATCCAGAGTATTGCGCCCAGTTCTGGGCCCCCTTTACAGAAACGATGTGGACGCATTGAAGAAGGTCCAGCAGAGGGAAACACAAATGATTAGGGGGCTGGAGAACATGACTTGAGGAGAGACTGAAGGAATTTGGGCTTATTTAGTCTGCAGAAGAGAAGAGTGAGGGGGGATTTGATAGCAGCCTTCAACATCCTGACGGGAGGCTCCAAAGAGGATGGAGAGAGGCTGTTCTCAGTAGTGACAGATGGCAGAACAAGGAGCAATGGGCTCAAATTGCAGTGGGGGAGGTCTACGTTGGATATAAGGAAAAACTATTTCCTTGGGAGGGTGGGGAAGTACTGGGATGGATTCCCTAGGGAGGGGGTGGAATCTCCATCCCTAGAGGTTTTTAAGTCTTGGCTGGACAAAGCCCTGGCTGGGTTGATTTAGTTTGGGTTGGTCCTGCCTTGGGCAGGGGCTGGACTTGATGCCTCCAGAGGTCTCTTCCAACTCTATGGTTCTTTGACGAGAATCTTGCACGCTACACTCTCCATGTACCGTGGGGAAGACATCTAGAAGGGACCCTGCTATCCTAAAACTCTAACCTTTTGTCAGTGGGATGCAGCCATCCATGCTGTTTTACCCTCCAGTCTCCACTCAGAAAAGACTGTCAGTTGTGCACCACTCAGTAGAAGTAGGAGGTGAGTTTGGAGCAATGGCTGTACTTGGCTAAGGTGGGAACAGTAGTAGTGACCTAACCCTGGTTTGCACTCGAGCTAGGCCAAGAGATCAGAAAGGGCCAAATCTTTCACCCAAACCAAGTGTCTTTAGGCTCATGTTGGTGTAAAGAGAGTTAATCCTCCTGTCCCTGCCTGGCCATCTCCCCGTCTTGGGCCCTGACTTAATGATGGCTTCCTTTCGCGTAGCATGAATAGAATTCTAGCCTCCCTCTTCCTTGCTAAGGAGAAGAGGAGGGGCCCAAGAGGGATTGCAGGGTCTTGGAGGGGGTTAAGACCTAGATACCCCTAAACCCTCAGCCTGGTGCTGTGGCTGTCCGGGACCCCGATACCCGTCCCAGAATGACCCGGGTCTTTGTGAAATAGCCAGTTCCTCTGTTGTACTGCCTTACGCTGAACTGCACGGGGCCAAGATGAAATCAATGGCGTGACAGCGAAGTGACAAAGTGGAACCTTCAGTGGAGGCCCAGCCAATGCCTGCTACCTACGCATGGCTGCCGCTTGCTGGTGCTGGAAATCGGGTGCATGTCATGCAGACACTACTACAGCTCATGCGTCAGGAGACTGGGGTTTCAAGAGTTCTATCCCTAGTTCTTGCTGAATGCGTTGTCTGCCTGTCGCAGGATTGGGCCCAGCCTCAATTGAGACTGCTCAAGTGATGATAAAAGCCGAAAAAACAGCCCTAAGCTGCCCCTGGGCCCTGCAGAAGACAATGAGTGAGAGGGAAAGATGAGGTTTACATGTTAAATCATGGGCGGTGGGTGAAGCTCAAGCCCCACCCCTTCTTCTCAAAGCCACACCTTTTCCCCAAGACCACGCACCTTCAACAACCTTCCCCTCCCCCTCCCCAGCTAAGCCTCACCCAACCCCAGCTCTCAAGCCCAATCTTTCCTGGCCACCTGGAGGGCCAGGGCTCGCTGGACACCATGCACTGTAGGCAGTTTTGGGAAGGCAATGCCTTCCCTTGCCTGCATTACCCACCACACATGAGTTGAACTACGTTCTTGTGCCCTCAAAGGAGGGTTTGAAAAGATTCTGGGTATGATACTGACTATTTCCTGGACTGGGGAAGGAGCCCACCAGCCTACCCCATCACCTGTTTTGCTCCTTACGTGCAGGCCAATCAAGAGAAAAACAAGATGGATTGTAATGCGCTGTGTTAGGGGATTACTACATTTCCTCTTCCGCTCCATTCAGGAAAAGTCAAGCCTAACAGTCTAAAATTCAGGTATGCCTTACAGCTCTTCAGTGAAAAAAATCCCAAACATTTCCCAATGAGATTCATTTTTTTTCCTTCTAAAATCTTTCGGCTTGGAAACGCGGTGATTTATTTACTCGGGGTACATGAAATCAGATTCCTGCCGAAGGCCTGTTCTGATTCCAGCGGCTAGAGGCTGCTGGCTACAGTAGTTAGGTTCTAATGACCTCCTTTCAAGCCTTCAGAGAAACAAAAGCAAGTCGCAGTACTCCCAATCCTCCACGAGGTGTCAGACCTAAATTAAGTCTGCAGACATGGCCTGGCTGCATTGCAATGCAGCAGCAGGACTTTGCTGGTTAATTTCCTCCTCCCGGGGGACAGGTGGTAGGGGGAGGCATTTAACTGTGGTTGGGTGATTCAGATGCAAAGCAAACAAAGCAGAAAGGAAGAGGATATATTTTCAGGGTGGCCATTTGAAAGCCTCAATTTCAGGAGGCCCAAATAAGAAACCGGAGGGGAGGGGGGTGGCTGGATTTTCAAAGTTGCTAACCAACTAGAGCGGGGTGGGCAATAATTTTAGATGCGGGGGGGGGGCACTTCAGAAATTTTTGAAGTGGCCCCAAGCTGCCTCAACAAAGCAGAAAGGAAGAGGATATATTTTCAGGGTGGCCATTTGAAAGCCTCAATTTCAGGAGGCCCAAATAAGAAACCGGAGGGGAGGGGGGTGGCTGGATTTTCAAAGTTGCTAACCAACTAGAGCGGGGTGGGCAATAATTTTAGATGCGGGGGGGGGGCACTTCAGAAATTTTTGAAGTGGCCCCAAGCTGCCTCAAAAGGGGCAGGGCCTGAGGCAGAAAGGGTGGGGCCACACTTCCATGCTTCCCCACCCACAGACCCTGACTGTCCGGGGTTGTGGGGAGCACGTGAAGTCTTTGCCCCCACCTCCCAAGAGAGAACCACCAGCTGTTCTGAACAGCTGGCGGTTCCCTCTAGGCTCCTGCGCTCGTGGTGGCGGAAGTAGACTTTGCACATGCCCCCTGCCCCCACATCAATCAGTCTCTTGCTCCCTGTCCTTGGTGGGGGAGGACACTTTGCGTACTCCCCCATCCCTTGGGGTAAGGGAGCGGCAGGGAGTCTGTAGGCTGGCTCAACCCGCTTGGCGGGCCAGAGCTGGCCCACAAGTGGCCCTTTTGCCTAGCCCTGACCTAGAGACATTCTGGACCTCAGCTGGGTGCTCAGGGCTTTCTGAAAATGGAGCTGTAGGTGTCACAAGTTGGACTCCAAAATCCAGGAGTCTTGCAGCCTTCAGGAATAAAACATCTCAGGGGCGGGAGGGTGCTTTGCCCAGCAGTAAGTGTAAACAAAATAAGAATCGCAAAGAAAACCACTAACAACCGCATTGATAGAGAACGCGGCTCAGTTGCTCGTGTCTCTCAGTAAGGCAGAAACTCCTGCTGCAAAGGCACAGTATTGCATGAGGAGGATGTTGATATTGGAGGTAATTTGCAAGAAAATAAAACCATTACACAAGAAGAAAAGCACATTCCGGCGAGGCGAGTTATAGGTTCCCGAGTGAAATCCAAGGAAGACCATGGCACGCCCTAGAGAAAGGAACACGATCGACTGCAGGAGGAGTGGTGGAGATATTTTGGCTCCTAATAAGTGGATTCTTTAAGACCCTGAGTCTGAAGTTAACTCCTATTTTTCCTGGGCTAGGAGCCTTCTGTGTGTTTGAATGAAAGTGTTTCACACCTAGAGTCCAGCTCCTGCATCCTCTCCATCCTGCAGAGAAACCTTAATTCTGTATTTACAGCACTGCAGCACCTTCTGAGCTGGCAGAAAACACTGCCTGCTCTCTAGCATCTCAGACAAATGCACACCCTATCTGTGGCCCCTCAAAGCCGCAGGACCTCCTCGTCAACCTGTCCCTGGCTATGCCAAGATGGCAATTTACAAGACCAGGGAGCAGAGATTGGCCGAAGGAGGGATCTGTGACTGAGGGGCCTATTTTTGCTTCTGTATCTGCTCACGCATCCAAGCAGAGTTCCACAGGGTGGCATCCGCTGGGTCCCTCGAGGCCTGCAAGGGGCAGTGGGTGCTGTCCGGGACTCTCCACTCGATGTCCCCATCCGGCTCCCTCATTTTAGCCCTTTGACCTCCTCACCCGTCCCTGTTTTCTCTTTATTTTTCCACAGGAATGATTTGGAGCCTAGTGCTCTTTGGATCTTCCTGGTAAGCTGGGGGGAGGGTCATTTAGATGTGGGCGGGCCAATGCCTGCCCACCTCCCGGACATAAATAGCAGCATCTCAGACAAGCCATGCTTGCTTCCAAACTGTTCCTGAGACACCACGTAATTACCTGTCCCATAGGAATAAAACACGTGGACAGATGTCAAAGGGTTTCTTTACACTCAGCTTCTTTTTTAAATCTTGAGTTAATTGGCTGCTAAGTCACTTGAGGTCACTGACACATTTGTAAAGGCAAGGCGGTCACTCCAGAAATATTTGTTCCTGGTTCAAACCTTCATCTTTTAACCCAGGCTGAGTTCTTCTAGGGTTACATTCCCCTCTCCCTCTCCCTCCCCCTCCCCTGCCCCGCAAGGCTCAAGTGCAAAAGGCGGTTGCTATGAAGTGCCGCTAAGAACAGCTGTTTGACACCCCAAATCACATTTTAAGGCTCCACGCTACAGAACATGAATGAACTACAGCCACCGCAGATAAATCCATTGTACTTACTCTCTCGCCAGGATCACCCACTGGACCGACGGGCCCAGTAGTCCCCGGAGGTCCTGGAAGACCCTAGTATGGAAAAGACAGGACAAAAAAATTAGGTGCGAGAAAGGAACGTGTGTGGTTATTTGTCCGAGTGTGCGTGCACAAACAGAATGGGAGCTGCTTGTTTATTTTAGTAGAGTAGCTTTGATCTTGAAAGTCTCTGATACTGTGAGGGCAGGAGCCTGGACTTCATGACCTCTCAAGAGGTCCCTTCCAGTTCTAGTGTTCTAGGCTATCCTGGTGGGGCATATGGATATAATAAAGCCCAGAGAAGGACCCAAAGAAGTGTTAAAAAAAACAACTTACAGCTGGGCCTTCGGGACCAGGTGGTCCTTCGATGAGCATGCCCTGGAAAACAGTAAAAGAGATTGGTGATTAGCAAGACACGTCCCCAGTGCGACATCAGCCATGGATCTCAAACATCAAGCAGTCATGTCACTTCTTAGCTAACTCCGACTTCCACGGCTCGCGTGCCCAGCAGGTGTGAGAACATCCTGCTCCTGAATAGCTTCCCCCCGTCTCACCTGAGTCAATTACAAGCCCATTGCTATGGGCACTCCACATACATTGAAAAGCAAAATGCCAACTAGTTCAGCCCACACCAGGTGCAACTCAAAGCCAAGATCCTAATACCCTTCCCAGATTCGCACCGGATGACAGCAGAATCCTCGCTTATCTTAGCAAAACGAAGCAGTGCTGGAGTTTTGAGGCGGTGATCCCTTTGCTCGAAATGCTCCCTCTAGTGCCAATCAAAATCTATGGCATTTCCAGGGGTTTTTAAATGTCTTTATGCAGTGATTTCCTGAGTGGACTTATGAGATCATTGTGCGGGTACCATGCCAGGATAACGTTCTCTCATTTTTTTTAAACAATTAAATATTTAGTTATTCCTTTAACTGGTGGACATGTTGTGCTCAATGGGATTTTTTTAAGGGAGATGGAGGGACGATAGGAAAGAAACTTTCTAATGAAAGAGTCAGAAGCGTGGCTGCAGGGCAGTTTAGGGAAAAGGACCTATAGGGAAACGGACTAGGAATACAGGTACAAAAGGCTCCATGGCTCAAGCTCCATCCTTCCATCGCTGGGCCACTGATGGAGTTCAATGTAATCCAGCAATGTACCCACATTCCAAGCAGCAGTTTCACCTCTCGCCCGCTATTTTGCAGCCAACAGAGTCAGTACTCCTCCAGCCTGAAATCAGCCCATAAAAGTCAGCAAATGTCAAATTGACTCAGTGAGGAGAAGCCTGGGAAGCAGCCAGCCCAGGGATCGAGTTACGCTTCCCTCTCGGAGGAGGGTGGTCTCCCCGGGTCAGGGTTGAAGCGAAGGCCAGGCAGCGAAGCGGATCCGGTGGAAGAGGGGGTCTGACGTCACCCCAGCTGCCTGTGTCCTACCCAGTGGAAAAGGCAGAGCGGAGTGAAACTGTCAGGGAGTCTTGCCCCAATTCCCACACTCCTCCAGCACCCCCAGGAGAGAAAACACATCAAACTATACTGGTCCCCCAGTGGGATACATGCTCACACACGTCCCCTTTGCAGCCATATCTCTTGGCTTGCACAAACTTTTTTTTTTTTTTTTTTTTTTTTACAAATGCTTCCCATTTCTAGCTTCTTTAAGGGCTGGTTTCTGGCTTGTTTGGATATACAATGGCCCAATACTCTGAGGCTCCAGTGAAATCAATGCACTTGTGCCAATATACATTAGTGCAGAATTTGCTTCATGGACCATAGCCTACAGCAATTTAACATCATTGTTCCGCTGCAGTAGATGTACATGGGCGTGAGAATAGACTCATGCATGGCATTCATTTGTCTTGAGGTAGGACAGTGAAATTTTCCCCCTAGGGGGGAGGATAAGGCGGGGAACTCGCTAAGCGGCATGAAACTGAATCGCACCGCTGCAAAATCTGGGGGACACGATACCGCCAGCTTTGGAAGAGATGCGCCCAGGAGTTTTATGGCAAGCAACAGGCAAGGAGCAGGAAAATAAAACAGTAGTTAAAAATACCAGGGATGAGGCTGGTGGTGCTAGGAACAGTCTGAGCAATGGGATAACTGGCCAAAGGATGGAGGGAGGCGGAAAGAGAGAAATGCCCCGGGACCCAGCATGAGGGAGCGAGATGCGAACCTTCCCCTGCCCACACATTCCTGGCACTCTTCCCTGGTGTGCCAGGAGATGGCAGCTCTTTGCAAGGCAAGGCAGGTTTAAGACACTTAGCCTTGGGGTGACAAGTGGGAGCACGGGTCTGTGGTACTGGAATTTGGACCGATGCAGAAGCGGTACGTATCACAGCTACACGGGCTGAATCCCGGCTGATGGGGTGAGACCAGAGGCCTTAAGAAATCTCTTCCTTTCTGCATCAGGAGCACAGGAACTGAGTGCAAGGACTTCTCTAGCTCCGGAGAGACCCTTCGAGTGTGACCAAGATTCTGTTCAATGGGCCACGGTCTACAGGACATAACTGACTAGCGCACAGTAGGTGTTAGCAGTAGAATCCAGCTCTACACACTCTATTTCCTCTTATTTCAGAGGAACCGGGGCAATAAGTAAAGCAGGGGCGGGGAATCATTTTCGGGGCAGGGGCCGCTGACCCGCAGGTAAAAAAAATTCAGTCAGGGGCTGCACACAAGTCAGAAGCAAAAAAAAAAAAAAAAAAACCCACCTCACTGACACCTGAGATGCAGAAAGACTCTCCCCACATTCCCCTCACATGCCTGGATAGTAGACTGTGTGCCCCAGCCGCATGGGGGGAGAGGCCTGGAGCACCAGCATGGGCTCCCCAATACTGGGGGAGTGGAGCCTGGATCCGGCTTGCCTGGATCTGGCCCCTGAGGCTCGGGCCTCGCCAGTACTGGGGGTGAAGCCCCAAGCTGCAGGGGCCGAATCCAGGCAAGCCAGGAGCCACATCCGGCCCCCAGGCCTCAGTTTCTCCATCCCTGAAGTAAAGTGAGTAGGGGGAAGAATCACTAAGTGCAAGAGGCCCCACTTGTGGGCCTTCATTGAGCCAAACTCCAAGCCGAGGCTCTCCAGTCCTGACCATTTGGAACCAGAGCAGGGAGAGGACGGTTCAGTCTTTATGGCCCACGTGGCTACTGGCCGCTCTGCTGAGATGGCTGACAAAGGACGGGAGAGGGGGGCGGTTTCAGTTTCCCTGCTCGCAGGGAATGATGGGCAGAAATTGCTGGCTGCTTTGCAAAGAAAGGACGCCGCTAAGCCTCTCTTCAGTCCATTTCCTTCGAGAAACTGGACCAACGAAGGCACCTCCCATCTGCCTGCGTGGCAGCTTTGGAGACTAGCTTCATCTCCAGACTTCCACCTCCTCTCAGGGCTGATAAACTCCCCTCAGCGCCGCAGAAAATCATTGCCCATATAAGGCGCCTTATGACCTTCCAGAGCTCCTGGGTGCCAGATTTATGTGGGAAATACTTGAAACAGTCTCTTGAATGGCCACAGCCCTGAGAACTTGGCTTCCCCCAGCCAATCGGCAAAGCAATAAAGGCCCCTCAGAGAGGACGGGAGAGGAAGGTCTAATTAACCTATTCATGCTACAGACCGCCTGGGCATGCTCCCATGTTTATCCGTCTGTTTATGTTAGGCTCTGGCTTTGGGGACATCTGGAAAGTCTCCTCAGTGAGAAATTCCAACAGTTTACATTATCGGTACCACACCACAAAGCAGAGGAGCAAGAAACAGGCTGTGTGACAGGCGGGAGAGACACGCAGGGAAGAGGAGGGAACAAAAACTCTGACCAGGAGCTGCAGATGTGAGAACCCATTCCGTCCTGGCTTCATAAGATGTTAAAGCGCTGTGAGAACCTTGTTCCTAATTTGCTTTCACCGCTTTGCATGAAGTCTCTCCGGTCTACGTCTCAACTCTGTCCCCATCCCAGAGACCCTCTTTCTTCCCCCTCCTTTCTCTGCACCCCTCCGCTGCTATAAAACAACAGGTCTCGTTAGCAGTTTCCCAATTTTGCATCCGTGCCAAGAGCCATCCTTTTCGGACAGTCTCTCAGCAAAAGGACTTGCAGAGCCATTTGTAAAAGGACATGGACATGGAGAGCCCTTAAAGTTAATCTGAAGGGATAAAAACAAAACTGTTGTTTTAATTTACCAGCTTTCCTCTGAAGAGCCCAAGCATGTTAATAAAGATACTATAATCCTGTCCCTTTTTTTGGGCGGGGGGGAGGAGAGGGTAGGGTCAGATGTTATTCACAGTGTCAACATGTAACACCAGTTATCATAATGTGGTATCGTAGGCCTTGTTTACACCCAAAACTTAGGTCAGTTTAACTACATCGGTTGGGGCGTGAAAACAAAGCTCCAATCCTCAAGGGTGAGGATTTAACTAACCTAAGTCCCCATCTAGATAACACTATGCTGATAGGGAGATAGATACCCCTCTAGACTGGAGAACCCGCTCCCATCAGTGGATGTAGTGTCTACACTAACGCACTACAATAGCACAGCAGTGCCACTAATGTATACACATGCTCTTAATTACAGTTCAAAGAGAACAAAAGAACAACCAGACTGGGTCAGACTAAAGGCCCATCTAGCCCAGTATGCTGTCTTCTGACAGTGGCCAATGCCAGGTGTACCAGAGGCAAAGCACAGAACAGGGACTCATCAAGTGATCTATCCCCTGTCACCCATTCTCAGCTTCTGACAGGGGCTAAGGACACCATTCCTGCCTATCCTTTGGCATTATAGATGCTTAGGCCATGTCTCCACTTGCCGGAAGATCAACGCTCTAGTAATTGATATTCTGGGGTTTGATTTAGCAGGTCTAGTAAAGACCCACTAAATCAAATGCTGAGGGCACCCCTGTTGGCATGGGTGCTCCTCACTGTTGCAAGGAGTAATGGACCTTTATAGGAGCTTTTCTCCTAGGCTAGGTCTAGACTACACTTTTTATCAGAAAAAGCTTTTTCCGATTGCTTTTGCAGAAGAGGATTTTCCACCATTTGGCCCCATCTATGGCGGAAAAGCCTCCTCTTCTGCGGAGCCCTTATTCCTCATAGAATGAGGCATACAGGGCTCCCCAAAAGAGCATGTTTGCTTTTCCACAAAAAAAGCAGAAGAGCAAATGTGTTTCCTGGACTCGGCAGAGTTTTTCCGGGATACCTAAAACCCACCAGTCTAGACGTACCCCTATAGATCTCCCACTGTGAGGCCCCTCAGAAAAATCAATGCAAGGTATGTCAGCTCCAGCTATGCAATTCACATAGCTGGAATTGAGTATCTTGCATCCATTTTCTCTGGAGGTGTAGACCTGGCCTTAGTTGGACCATTCAGCTCAAGATTGTGCTAACCTGCTGCCTCCAGCAAGTGTCAGCACTGAGTAAGGATTGAAAGGCAGATGGACTGAAAGTTCAGAGGACTCTTTCCTTCCTCCACCCCCCACCACCGCAACCCAGCAGCTCTGATGGAAGGAAAGTGCCTTCGCTAGAAGATGAAGAGCACGAGGAATCTGCATTTCGCTCAGCTGAAGGGAACTGACAGAAGAAAGGAAAGGCAGCATTTGGTCTTGTTTATTTTCTGGCAATGGCTATATATGCTCCAGTGTGACTTGAAATAGCTAAGGCAGCCAAATTCTTTCTGGATGATTACACTTAACTATTTTGTTCGTTCTGTAACTTTTCAGATTGGACAGGGGCAGGCTAAGTTTAAGCGGGGGAGGGGCTTAATTTTTAATTTTTTCCCTGTATTTGAAGAAGGCTTTCCACACCTCAGTTAGATAAACGGGGCCATTTCGTTCCCTTTGTTCACAGAATAGAGGCTGGGCCCAGAAAGGGAGGAATTGACTTGGAGGAGAGGGAATGCTCTTTTAAAAGCACAGGTTCTAGATTTCAAAACCCTCCCTCCCCCACCGCTCTGGAAAAGGATCAAACAGGAGAGAAATAAGGAAGTGGGGGGGGGGAGGGGAACGGATGGGAAATGCTGTCCTCTCTTTGAGCCCTGTGTTGGCATTCTGCCAACGAAAAATTAGATTAACTGAGTTACTGGTGAGCAACGAATCTGTGCTCGGCCTTTCGGAGACTCCGGAGCAAAGCTGAATGGGGGTAATGGAAAGATTCCGAATGCATTGGGGTCTTTCTTGGGGGTGAGCAGAGGGATGCAGATAAATTGAGATCTTACAGGGCACTTATGGATGGGAAAGGGGCTATGTCATAACAGTTCCCTTCCCTGGGAACCTGTCAATCAGAGCTCACTACAACCAGTTGATCCTCCAGTTAATCCCATCAAGCCAATACACCCCGTGGAAAAGGAATCCAACTGGTCCTCCCATGGGCCATCAGGTAAACTCTGATCACACAGGGACTGAATTTTCAAAAAAATGTTGAGCATGGACATCTCACTCTTCTGAAAGCCAAGTGAGGCTTCAGGTTCTCAGGAGCTTAGAAAATAAGGCCAAGAGACTTTAACAAGGACTTTAATCTCAGCTTGCATCTCAGACCCCAGTCAGGTCACTGGAAAACTCCTGTAGATGATAAAGTGAGTGCAACGTATTTTACAACTACACTTCAAAACCAAAAACTGCCTCAAGCCAGGCCTACACCAGGGGACAAAATCGAACTAAGATATGCAACTCCAGCGTTGTGAATAGCATAGCTGGAATCAACATAAATTGGTTAGAATTATTGCAGCATCCCCACTGCAAGGAGTCAACTTCCCTTACTCCTCACGACCCGGTGGAGTACCAGAGTCCACGGGGGAGTGATCAGTGGTTGATTACGTGGGTCTTTACTAGACCCGCTAAATCGAACCCTGGGAGATCGATCCCAGCAACATCAATCTCCCATTAGGTGGGAACAAGTCCTCAAATCGGGGCCTGAGAAACTCTTGCTCATAGCGCAGGCAAAGAGAGAAGTAGAGAATGTAGAAGCTCGGTTCCGAACAATTATACAGGAGCAGTTTCAGGGTCTTTAACCACATGGAGGGAATGGACACTGAAGCAGAAAATATTCTCAGCTTCCACAGCTGTGTGCTGGGGAACCCTTTCCTAGCCACAGATGTGTGCTCCCCAGCTGTAAAATTAAGGGTGGACATGAGCTGCAAAGTTCAGACCTGGATCTAAACTCTCCCATAACTGTAGGGATTCCAGATGGAAGGCTGTTGTTCAAACCTATGACTAAGTAAAAGGTGCTGGAGTCCCAAGACAGGATCTTTCCATTTCACTTGTACATAAAAGTGGTGAAAAAAATTGGTCTAGGAATTGTTAGAATTAAAAAATTCTTACAATAAACCCTCCTCGCAAAAATCATTTTCAATTCATTTAAAATGTCCAGAAAATTTCTTACAGATTTTTCTATAAAATAATTTTTTCTCAATGTCTTTTGAAATGAT